TCATCTCTCTGCTGTCTCTGGGTGTTATCTGTGCAGGAGCACACACACTGAAGCTGCTGGGCTTGGGAGCAGCTCCTGTTCTCCCCCGCACATCCCATCCCATCCCATCCCTCGGGGGTGATTTACAGCCAGGGATGGCAGGAGACTGAGAGGACAATGTGCTCCATCCCCTGCAGATCAGTGTGCTGGGCATGGCCTGTCTGGTTGCTGGGTTGCTCCTCTAAGTGGTGAAAGGCACCCAAAACCTGTATTTTTGATCCTCTGGTTTTGGCTGGCTCTCAGGGCACCTCCTGGGTGTCTGTTCCTCTGCCCCTTCCCTCCGTGGGGGGGATGCAAAGCACCTCTGGCACCTGCTCATCTGAAATGAATCCACTGAAAGGCCACTAAGGCAGGAGGAGGGCAAGGTGGGGATGATCCTGAGGGAGCAGGGTTGGCCTTTCCCCGCTCCAGTCCTCTGGATTTAGAGCTCTGGGGCTAAACCTGAAGGAGTTCCAAGGCATTTTCTTCCGTCAGGGCTTCAATAAGAAGATTCCTTTCCTGGTATTTATCCAACAGCTGAACCAGTGCACAGCAACCCTGAGCTCCCAGGTATTGAAAGGAATGGAGTGCTAATTATTTATGTTACCAGAACATTCAGGGAAGGAACTTTCCCTTCGTTCTTTGCTTTCTTTCACACCCAAAGGAATCAGCTGCTTTTATAATTTATTCTAGGCTTTGCTGGAATCGAAGTTATCAAGCATTTATCACACATCTGTCCCTGGGAAGGGGTGTCAGTCAGAGCTTGTTAGTGGAGGAGAGGCAGAGCAAACAGCATTTAACCAAGTGATGAATTTAAAAAGCAGCAATTAACCAAGTTATGGTGACAGAGGAACGAGGTGCTGAGCACTCAGGGCTGGCAGGGTTGTGCCCAGGTCCTCCCCAGCAGCACATGAGCAGGAAAGGTTTGGTGCTGAGCCACCCTTTGGTGCTGAGCTCAGCAAAAAGGCAAATTACACGGAGGAGCTTATTTAATGAGGTTTTGTTGCACTTAGACTTGAAGTATTGAAGGCATCATATCAAATCTCAGTGTTTCTGTACAACCCATTAAGAGACAGAGAGGGCTGCAGATCAAGCCATTTATTCTTTGTGAGGTTATCACCTAAAATCTTCTGGTTTAGCATTTTTTTTTTAACCTTCTCCAGCTGATTTCCTCTCCCAGCACTGTCTCACCCATCACCTCTGCTTTGTTCTCAGCTCTTGGCTGCTCAGCCAGGGAAGCTTGAGCAGGATTGTTGGGATGTGCCTTGTCAGCTGGCTCCTTTGATCTCCCTATTTCTCTTATTTTTAATGATAATTTCCCTCTTGTTCTGACCTAACTCTCAGTGGCTGCTGGCAGCTTTCAGCTGGAGCAGGGGGGAAAAAGCAAAACAGAAAGGTGGCACTTTGGCAAATGCCATGAAGTTAATTAAGGTCTTTCCCTCACTGGGACACTTTTCCAGGCATGTCTGGGAGCGGTTTAAGGGACTGGACTGGTGAGCAGCAGTAAATTAGCTTTGATTTTGTAGGGAGAAAAGGCACCATCTCTGTCCTGGCACAGCTTCTGAGCCCCTTTGTTGTGCCCCAGCTGCTGCTGGTGGGTCCTTTGTAAGAGCCCAAGGGCTCCTGGGGTGGGTGCTGACGCTGCGACACTTTTAGAGGCCTCAAGGCCTTCCCTGCCCCAGTTCCAGTGCTGGGGTGGCCTGTGTGGAGCCCCAGAGCCGGGGGGGTGAGGCCGGGGTGGGACAAGGCTGCAGCACCCAGCCCTGCCCTGGCAGCTCGGGCAGGAACACGCTGGGTACCCCCCTGGGCTCCCTCAGCACCTCCCTCAGTCACCTGCAGGGCTCAGATGTGGATGTTCAGAGCCAGAGCTGCCTCCTCAGCCCCTTCATCTCCTGTTTCTGTTGGAGGGAATCCAGAGGAGGCCATGGAGATGCTCCAAGGGCTGGAGCCCCTCTGCTCTGGAGCCAGGCTGGGAGAGCTGGGGGGGTTCACCTGGAGGAGAGAAGGATCCAGGGAAACCTGAGAGCCCCTTGCAGGGCCTAAAGGGGCTCCAGGAGAGCTGGAGAGGGACTTTGGACAAGGGATGGAGGGACAGGACAAGGGGGAATGGCTTCCCACTGCCAGAGGGCAGGGTTAGGTGGGATATTGGGAAGGAATTGTTGGCTGTGAGGGTGGGGAGGCCCTGGCACAGGTTGCCCAGAGAAGCTGTGGCTGCCCCTGGATCCCTGGAAGTGTCCAAGGCCAGGTTGGAAGGGGCTTGGAGCAACCTGGGCTAGTGGAAGGCGTCCCTGCCCTATTCATTCACTGACAGCTGGAACAAGATGGACTTTAAGGTCCCTTCCAACCCAAACCAGTCTGTGATTCTGTGATTATGCACCAGAAGTGACCTTGTTTAGTACCCAGCTCTATCTTTCTTTTCCTTCTCCAGGCAAAATCTGACCAGGGCTGTTTTGCTTTCCCGGAGTGACTGAGCCCTGGGCAGAGGGAGCAGTGCCAGCCCAGCTCTGTGCTCGTGGCTGGTTTGGGTGATGTGCCTGAGGTGTGCCACAGTCCCTGGGCCAGCTCTGCAGCCCTGGGGCATGCTGGGCTATGGGGTGCCCTGTGTAGGTTGGCTGGGGGCTGCCAGTGCCACTGATGTGGGAATTAATGACTCTTTAGGGTTTATTGACTAGGGAAGGGGGTGTGAGTATTCCCATAGTTTGGGCAGGGTGTTTTAACATCAAGCCTGTTAGGAAGAAAACTCTGCAATGAAGATTCAAACCATTGGAAGATTTACTGGCACAAGGGGGTAATTGCTGGTGTCTCCCGTTCCCTCCCGGTTTCTCTTTGAATTTAAAACAAACCAATAATTGTATCAAGTCCCCCTTCTCTCAGCTTGTACCACAAAGCAGGGCTCTGCCTGGTGACAGCACAAATCCATCTTGGCTCTCTGGGGACTGATTGTGCCGTTTGGAGCAACATCCAAGGTGGATGTTGAAGATTGTCCCTTGACTTGCAGTGGTGTTCCCACACTGCACAGGTTTGTAAGTGAGCAATTAAACTGTGAGGATGGAGGGGAGGGAGAAGAGGAATGAAATCACTGGCATGGGTGCAGAAGATGGAATTAGAAGTCTCTGCATGGGATGGTTCTTAGTTTAAATTATCTCCTGTTGCTTGTGCTCAAACTGCATCCATGGAGCTGATGTAATGGGAATTTTAAGGTCGTGAAAATGTGGGAACAGGTGTCCTATGGAATAGATACTCGACTCCTCAGGTCCTGGATGGCTTTTGCCTCTTGCCATCCAACATCTCAGCGTGTTTTTTTCCTGATCTCCAGCACCTCCTGCTGAGGGAGTCTGGCCCTTTCCGCCCAGCAATGCTGATCCTGCTCTTCCCTGGCCCTTGTTTGGCAGCAGGGCTAAGTCAGTCAGTAAGTCAAGGACGGGGATTTGATCTCCCTACACAGCCACATCCCCCTCCTCTGAGTTTGCAGACATCCTGTAGAGCACAGAGCAGAATTACCCATCTTATTTTGAAAAAATTCTGCTTTTTCTTGTGATTTTTTTTTTTATGGTGGCTGATCACTGCTGAATGTTCAGCAGCCTGTTATCAAGGAACCAGGAAAAAGGGCTCCTGGGCAGGAGCAGATGAATCCTGGGTGCACCCTGTGGGTGCTCTGAGCATCTCTGTGCCCCAGTACAGGAGGGTAATATCCTTGGGATTCACTGCCTGAGCCTGGCACCTCCTTCCAGCCCTTCCCACGGCATCTGGCAGTGCTGGAATCCCACTTTTCAGCCGGGTTTGTGAGTCCCTGTTGCTGTTGGGACTCTCAGGGAAGGGCTGACCAAGCACCTGGTGATGGTCAGGGATGGGTGCCCACGGGCAGCACCTTCAGCAGAGGTGGGCACACAGGGGTGGCATTTGATCCCAGGTGGTTGGGGGCTTGCAGACCCCACTGGTGGACTGGCTGCTCACCCACTTCCACCTTGGCAAAACAACCTGGGGGCAGAGACAGCAAAATAAAGGCAATTGCTCCTGAGGGCTGTAAATGGTGCAGAGGGTGGGGAGCTGGTGGGAGGGTTTGCTCTTTATTACCTGCATTGTTTGCTTGTCTTAGAGAATTGTTTAAATTGGAAAAGACCTGTAAGATCATCAAGTCCAAGCTTTAGGGGAGTGCTGCCTTAATTTAAGAATATTTTTGCTGAAGCACCATAGGAAGTGCTGCAGTAAGCAGTGAATGTGGCTTTGCTGGTGGGGCAGTGTCTCTTTTAGAGTCTTTGCTTAAGGAGCTTCCATCATTGTGGCTTGTGGACAATATTTCTTCCTTTGCTACACCCTCAAATGGTGAAGACATTTCCTTTTGAAGAGTCATTCTGGTTTGGGGACTGTATTTCCTATCAGAGTTCATATCAGGATATCATATCAGAGTTCATGTCAGGATTTCATCTCAGAGTTCACACACTGTATTTCATATCAGTGTATCAGACTCGCACCCTCCTCTCGGGATATTCTCCTCAAAGAAGATGCTCTGAACAAAGGTTAATTTTGCACACAGAGAGTAAACTGTACGACCAGAAACTGCTTCAGGTATTGGGGAAACACCAGGCATCAGTACTTGAGAGATTTCTGAACTTATTACCTGGAGAAGCTCTGGCAGCTGATTTCTGGTGTAACTGAGGGGTTCATTTCCCTCTCTCCGTCTCCTTCTGGGAAAGGTGCAGTGTTTTCCTGTATCACAGCTCTTTAGAGACCAGATGATGTGTCAATGGCCACATAAGCAGGCAGAGATTGGGGATTTTTTCATGGTCTGAGCAAGGCTCGGCAGCCCTGGAGGAGGGTGTGAGTTAATGGGGTTCGGTGCACACCATTTGCAACGTGACCACAGGTATAAAGTTTAAAGCATCTCGACTATTAGCTGGTTTTACATGACACTAATCCGTGCTTTGGAAGGAGGAATTTCCATTTGAATCTCAATTTTTGCCCTCTCTCCCTGTTTTTTTCAGGATTCTGGCGACTGCTGGCACTGATTTTGACCTGAGGACGCTGCGAGCTGTGCGAGTGCTGCGACCCCTGAAACTGGTGTCGGGAATCCCGAGTGAGTGTCAGGACAATGTCACCTCACAGCCTCAGGGATTCTGGGGTTTTTGGGCTGTTACATGCTTTTCTGAGCAATATTTTCTCCCCCTCTGTCTTGGCTGGCTGTGGCTCCTGCCCTTGCCAGGCGCGGATTTCCTCTCACCCCACTCTGTGCTCAGCCAGCTCTGAGTTTCAGCTCTGCCCTCCCAAATTTGCAGGTGAGGGGCAGGGATCGCTCCTGGGACCCCTTTGCCTTTGGGGGTGAATTAATTCTGTGGGATATGAAGACCTGAGACCCAAATTCTGCAGCTTTCAGGCTCCCAGCCCCGAGCTTGGGTGTTCTGATGTTTTGATCAGATCCTGTGCTGGGGATATTTTCCTTTAAATAAGGGGAGGGAAAAATGAAGGGAAAGAGCAGGTGGGACTTGGCTTTTTCTACTCAATAGGCAACTTCCTATATTTTCTGTGTTAACTGAAGGGTGAATGCTCCATTGAGGAGCTGCATCCTGCCTTGCTGATGCCCTGAATCCGTCCCAGTCCTCACACTGTGCCTTCCTGCCTTTTTATTTGTCCCTGTCCCCTCTGCCTGCTACAGTCAGGAGTGGGTTTCATTTCTGAAGGAGGAACAGAGAGGTTTGACCCTCCAGCAAGAGCTGGGGAAAGGGAACTGCAGCTCTGGGGGATGCTCTGATCTTGTCTGCATTAACCCCTTGGCAGCCAGTCAGTCCCATCTCCTCCTGGGTCACCAGCTCTGCCACCTCCCTGGCTGCTTCAGGGCTGACACTTTGGTGCTCTGGACACCCAGCAAGAGCTGATGCTTTGTAATCATGCACCAAAATTTCCTGCCATCAGCATTTTTTGTGGGCAGGAATTCAGGCTGAATTCCCACCCAGGAGGGGTCCTTGGCTAGGCTTGGGCAGGGTGACATTTGTTAACAGGATCTCTAAGAAGATGCTGCTGACTGTTCTTTCATGGACTTCTTGCCTGTGCAAGGTGTGGTAATGACAGTCTAAGGGTGACAGAGGAGCGAGGTGGCCCCTCAGAGCTGTGCCCCCAGCAGGACTTGTTCTCCCCCGTGGTGACGTGTCCTGACCCAGCACAATATTTTCCCACAATATTTGCTCTCAGGTTTTTAGGGATGCTGTGAAAACTGTGGCTTTCCCCCCCCTTGTAGCAGATGTACAAACCTGAGGTGCAATCACACACAACCACATTTACACTTTCCTTCTACCCCTGCAGTATTTTTCCCATCCAACAGACCTTCATCCCTTTTTTTCCTGCATGTCCCCATATTGACCTCAGCAGTGCTGTCCAAGGTGCCAAGACAAGGATGATCCTTCTTTCTCCTCCTCTTAGGACAGGCCACCAAGGCAGCTGCTGCTTATCACTGCAGGTTTTTTGTTGTGGGCATCTTTTTGCCATTATCTCTCCAGCCTCTCCCTTATCTCCCCTGGTTTTAATTGAAAATGAGTTTCAGTGCTGATGCAAAAGCTTTGGATGGACAGCCCTGGAGACAGGGATTGTTCCTCCAGGAGCAGCATGGTGGCTGTTCTGTGTGCTGTGGAGGGAGAGGCAGCTCCTGGTCAGCCCAGCACCCCTTGGGACAGGGGAACCAGAGCCATGCCCAGCTCTGCTGCTGCAGGACCTGCCCCGAGGACCTGGCTCAGCTCCAGGCTCAGTGTCCGGCTCAGGAAAAACCCTTTTTGGGTCTCTCATGCTTAAGAACCCTTTGAATCTGTCACCTGAAGAAAAGACACCACAAAAAGATAACTCCTGGTTGTCTCTCCTGCTCTTGAGCTCGTCGTGGCAGTGGCATCATTTTTATGACCCCCTGGGAAGAGCAGCATTGGTGGCACTGCCAATCCTAAATTTTCCCTCTCTCCTGCCTTCCCCCCCCCCAAGCCCTTGTTTTTTTTCCCTTCCCTCCCTGACATGTTCTCCTTGTCCCCCCAGGCCTGCAGGTTGTGCTCAAGTCCATCATGAAGGCCATGGTGCCCCTGCTGCAGATCGGGCTGCTCCTCTTCTTCGCCATCGTGATGTTTGCCATCATCGGGCTGGAGTTTTACATGGGCAAGTTCCACAAAACCTGCTTCTCCAACGAGACAGGTGAGCCTGGAGCTTCCCTCCCCTCTCAGTGTGGCATCAGGGTGCTCCTGGTTTCCTTCATCTCCTCAGGATCTTCCTATCCCGCTCTTATGTTGCTTTTCCTTCACCCTTTCCCACGTTCGCTGCGTTTTCTCGGCGTTTTCTCCCTCTTTAACACCAACTCCAAGAGTTAACAGGATTTTGTGCTCATCCTACATTCATTAGGACAGATTCTCCTCTCTGTTACACCCCCACAGCCCCCCTGGGCTGCTCTCAGTCTACACAAAAATCAGAAAAAGGTGCTTAGGGCCTCCTCTCATGGAAGAATTTTTTCACAGTAGAGATACAGAACCAAATTCCTGTTGTTTCAGCTTGTTGAAAAGTGGAGGGTTTTTTATTATTTATTTTATTATAAAAGCGGGGTTTTTAAAATTATTTATTTTATTATAAATTTTATTTTCATTTTATTATTTTTATTATTTTATTATTTTTATTTTAAATTTTATTATTTTATTATAAATTTTAATTTTTATTTTATTATTTTATTATTTTATTATTTTATTATTTTATTATTTTATTATTTTATTATTTTTATTTTTAATTTTATTATTTTATGATAATTTTTATTTTCATTTTATTAATTGTATTATTTTATTATTTTTATTTTTAAATTTTATTATTTTATTATAAAATTTAATTTTAATTTTATTATTTTTATTGTTTTATTAGTTTAATTTTTAAATTTTATTATTTTATTATTTGACAATATTTTTATTATTTTTAAATTATTTTTTAAATTATTTTTTCTTATTTAGTGCTGTCTGTTCACATTCTCATTGGGTTTAACTCAGTGAATGTTAAATTTCCTTGGAAGGTTTCTGGGGAATTTGCATGGGTATGAGAAAACTTTGGTGGGAAATAGTAAAAGATTGGAAAGACTGGGAGCAAATGAAAAATAAAAGAATAGGTGGAAGGTAAGAAGTCCTTTGATGGAGAAAGGATAAAAATAACTTTCAGAGAAGGACAAGGGACATTGGGCACTGAAGAGCAAATGATGTGTCTGCCTGTGATGGAGTGAGAAACCCCAGGAGATGGAGGAGGAGAAGAATGATTCCCAGAGTCCCTTGGCTGGGACCAGCTGCCAGCTCAAATCATGGAATGGTTTGGGTTGGAAGGGACCTTAAAGCTCATCCAGTTCCACCCCTGCCATGGGCAGGGACACCTTCCACCAGCCCAGGTTGCTCCAAGCCCTGTCCAACCTGGCCTTGGACACTTCCAGGGATGGGGCAGCCACAGCTTCTCTGAGAAACTGGGCTGTGCCCAGAAGAAAATATTGTTCTTGTTGTCAAACCATTGCATTTTAAGGTAAAATCGTCTGTCTTTAAAACACAATCCTGTATTTTCGGTGATTTTCACTAGTAGGTCTTAATATTAATTTATTTACAGGCATTCAGATGATAATAAAACAACATCCCTGCCAAGTCTCTGGGCACCCTCACAGAGCTTTCTAACAGCAACATGGAAACAGTGGAACACACGTGGTTCACACAGAGCTTTGGATGAGCTTCTACTCCTGTGGGATGTCAGGAAAACATTCCATAGGAACATGAGGAAGAATTTCCCCTGCTCGTGCAAAGCTCTCTGTAAACTGGAGGCAACGAGGATGGGGAAGGGCCTTGATTTGAAGCCGAGGGAGGACACTGAGGGCACTTGGGGTGTTCAGCTGGAGAAGAGGAGACTGAGGGGAGAGCTCAGGGCAGTTCCAGCTCCCTGGGGAGGGGCAGAGGAGGGGCAGGGACTGAGCTCTGCTCTGGGGGGACCAGGGACAGCACCCAGGGAATGGCTGGAGCTGTGCCAGGGCAGGCTCAGGTTGGATCTCAGGAAAAGGTTCTTCCCCCAGAGGCTGGTTGGCACTGCCCAGGCTCCCCAGGGCAGTGGGCACAGCCCCAAGGCTGCCAGAGCTCCAGGAGGGTTTGGACAACGCTCTCAGGGGTTGTTGGGTTGCCCTGTAAGTTGGACTGGATGATCCCTGTGGGTCCCTTCCATCTCAGCATATTCCATTCCATCCCTGCATCCCATCACCCGGCACCTCGGTGGGAGGACACGAATCAGCTTCCCTGAACCCCCTCCCCGGGGGTGGGGAAGGTGTCTGTGCACCCCCCTGTCCTGAAGGGCATCGAGCACCTCTGTCCCGAAGGGCTGCTTGATGTGGTTGGGTGAATTACGGGGATCCATCCCAGCTGCTGGGCGGGAAATGGTGTTTCTGGGAGGGAGATGCGGGGACGTTTCCTGGCGCTGCCGTCCCTGGAGCGGCAGAGCGGCCACAACCCATCAGCGGAGCCTTTTAAAACCTCATCAGCATCTCCAAAGAGGTGCATTAACGAGCCGCGGGCTCCGAGCGGGCCGGAGAGTGGAAATAGGAAGCTCATTAAAGAGACGGCTCTGCCAGAGGGGAGGAAATGCGAGGAGGAGGAGGAGGAGGAGGAGGAGTCGCTGGTGCTTGTGTCTGTTCCAAATCCCCAAAGTGAGCGAGCTCCCGGGATTTTTCCTGGAATTGGGAGCCGCATGAGAGGTACCAAGTGTCACCTCAGCGCATCACGAGGGGAACCAAGTGGAGGTGTCAGCAACGAGTGCTGCTCTAACCCTGCTGCGCCCGCAGCCCCGGGCGGGTCAGGAATGAACAGCAGCGAGGAGGGATGGTGGGGACCAAAATGGGGCAATTTGAGCTCTGCGGTGTGGAAATACAGCTTTATTGGAATGAAAATGGGTGAAAATCAGTGTTAGCTCAGCGGGTCAGAGCACGGTGCTGACAACACCCAGGTTGTGGGTTTGATCCCTGGTTGGGATCCCTTCAGAGCTGGACTCGATGATCCTTGTGAGCCCCTTCCAACTGAAAGATTCTGTGATGGCAGAGCATGTTCCAGTGGATACCTGACTTGTTTCTCTCTCCCTGCATCCTCCATTCTGTCCTGTTTTGCTGACACAGGATCGTTTTTAAGCAGCTGACCCAGCCCAAGTGCCCTGAAGCTGCTCCAAAAGAGAAGGGCATTGCATTTATTTCCCATTTTTCCTTGAGATTCCCCTTTTCTCTGCCTTGTCCAGCCACAGGGCCAGTCCTCTTCCCTTTTTTAAAAAAGAAAAACCCCCACCCAACCCTCTGTGAACTGAATTTTCACAGCATTACCTGGCAGCAAGAAGCCAAACCGAGATGAAACTGGATCCCCTTTTAATGCACCCTCACAAACGATCTGCACAAGCCAGATTTGGCATTTTCTTTTTGCAGCCTTCTCTCACTAAACCCTCGTGAAAGCCTGTGGTGACCCATATGGGAGCTGGAGCTTTGCCCTGCATCAAGGTGTTGAGTCAACAGGAAAGTGTGTCACATATAAATATATATATTTATATATATATATATACACACTCTTATCCTGGTCCACAGTGACAACCTTGTTTTCCTCCTGCAGCCTCTGCTCTGTGGAATGATTATTCCTAATTCTCGTTAGTGCTGCTCTTGTTTCCCCCCTGGTGAATTGGATTTTGTGCAGTTTGCTGCTCCATTACCATAATGTGTCACTTTAAAAACCCTTTAATGCTTCCCCAAATTGCATCTCTGTAAATAGGAATATTACTTAGCATGTTTGGTTACTCTGAAAACTCAGCACTTTAATTTTCCAGCCTGCTCTGGAGGGCTGGAACCCTTCAGGCCTCACCCTGGAAGGTGCTGAGCACCCTCCTGGCCATCCCTGGTGGTCCTTCACTGACAGATTCACCCACCTTTGCCTTCTCTGGGTGTGAAATGAAACCCGGCAGAGAAGCATCATCAACTGGATGCTTTCCTTGCCACATGGAGCAAAAATGGGGAGCTTACAGAGGGGCTGGAGCCCTCAGTCCACCTTTCAGGCTGCTGTGGTGGAACTCTCTTATGAGAAAAAGGGTCTAACATCTGTACCTGGACAGTTCTGGGGCTCTCCACAACCAGATCTTTCTTGATCCAGAACCTCCCCTTTAGCTTTAATGTTGTAGTGTCAATATTAACCCTTGGCTGTGCTGTAGGAGGACATTTGAATTATGTGCTCTCCCCAAGCCCTTGTTTTTTTACCACACTTTTGGGTTTTTTTGTGGTGTTTCTCATGTACAGCTGCTCCTACACTGTTTGCAGACCTCTTAAATGTGGTCAGCTGTCATAAACTGGGAATTCTTAGCAGTTTGGGAGCCTTTTCTGCCAGGTGACAAGTGCCAGGATGAGAGGAAACGGCCTCAAGTTGCACCATGTGGAGATTAGGGAAAATTTCTTCCCTGGAAGGGTGGTCAGGCATTGGAACAGGGAAGTGGTGGAGTGACCATCCCTGGAAGTGTTCAAAATCCTGTGGATGTGGCACCTGGGGACGTGGTTTGTGGTGAACGTGGTGCTGGTGCTGTGGTGACAGTTGGACATGAGGATCACAGAGGTCATTTCCATGATTCCATGACATGAGGTGGGGCAAACTATAAATTATGGGCACTCTGCTGCACCCTAAACCATCTCTTATACCACAGCAGCAGAGAAATGATTACATGGGCATGATGACTTTATAGTGGAAACCCAAGATGTGCCTGATGTCCCTGCAGTGCCGCAGGGAGGGTCCAGCTGCTTCCGTGGCTTCAGGTGGTAACTTTTCTCCCCTCTCTGCAGGTGATGAGGTGGGAGATTTCCCCTGTGGAGAGGAGCCCCCTGCCAGGCAGTGTGAGAGCGGGACCACCTGCAGGGAGTACTGGCAGGGGCCCAACTACGGCATCACCAACTTCGACAACATCCTCTTCGCTGTGCTCACCGTCTTCCAGTGCATCACCATGGAGGGATGGACAGACATCCTCTACAATGTGAGTCTGCTGCGGGGGCTGGAGGGCTCCTGGGATGCTGCTCTGCCTTGGGGCAGTCTGGGAAAGGTTGTTCTGGAAGGAAAAAGGGATTAAATTTGTGTATTTTCTCGTAGCACATCACCCTGCGTTTTAAGAGGATTGTTCCTGTTTTCCTGGGGGTTGCTCTGCAGGTGCTGTGAGAGCCTTTGAACCACCACCACAGCCTGTGGGGGTTTGAGGTCATGTCCAAAGAAGGGCAATGAGGCTGAGGAAGGGTGTGGAGCACAAGTGCTGTGAGGAGAGGCTGAGGGAGCTGGGGGGGCTCAGCCTGGACAGGAGGAGGCTCAGGGGAGACCTTCTCACTCTCTGCAACTCCCTGCCAGGAGGGGGGAGCCGGGGGGGGGTCGGGCTCTGCTGCCAGGAACCAGCAGCAGGACAAGAGGGCAGAGCCTGGAGCTGCCCCAGGGCAGGTTTAGGTTGGCCATTGGGCAGAAGTTGTTTGCAGAGAGAGGGATCAGCCCTTGGAATGGGCTGCCCAGGGAGGGGGTGGAGTCCCCGTCCCTGGAGGGGTTTGAGCAGAGCCTGGATGTGGCATCAGTGCCATGGTCTGGGTGACAAGGTGGGGTTGGGTCAAGGGTTGGACTCCATGATCTCAGAGGCCTTTTCCAACCCAACTGACTCTGTGATTCTGTGATTTGCTTTCCTGCAACATGTCTTGTGTCAGTGGGGTGTTGCCAAGTGTAGGAATTGCTGTGGCACTCCAAGGTGCTGCTGTGGGATGGGTGGGTGAGCAGGAGCAAGTTCTCACAATGTCCTGTAGTAAATCAGTTACCAAATTGCACAATACTGGGTGGCAAAACTAGTCACTCCTTAATATTTTGTACTTGGGGCTTTGCTCTCTTGAGAAAATCTCTTCCTCTCTTGGGTGTAGCCTTTGTGATCAAACTTTTAATTTCCATCAGTGAGCAGCATCAGCTGGACCCCAGCACCGAGAGCCAGGACTAGTTTGGGCAACTCCAACACAATTTCACGAAGCCCTACCACTCACCTTCGCACCTGGCATGACCCTGTTGGCTGTGAAGACCAGGCTGAATTTCCTCACAGGGGTCTCTGCTGGCTGTGCCTCCTTGGACAGTTTTTGTCAAAACCTTTTGGTTGCTCAAGTTTTCCTCTTTCCAGTTTCCCAGAGCAGGACAATCTCACCCAGTTAGCAACGACTGACTGACTCTGCTGCCTTTCAGGCAGTGCAATGCTCTTGTTTGAGCTGGTATTTTATGTAGGAAAATAACTAAAGTGGGCATTGCTAATGCCCTTCACCCATTCCAGTGGCAGGAGGATGGCAGTGTGTTCACTCTGCTTCATTACAGCCTCCAGACCCACGCTGGGCTCTTTCACAGCCCTTCCTGAGAGGGTTTTTGTAGCAAAAGGAAAGGATTTTCATCAACCACAGTAAATTGCAAGGTACAATTCTGCTGAGTTTGAAGCCAATACACCTGATTTATTACCTTCTCCACTCGTTGCTCAGCTACTCCATTTATTTCCAGTCTCAGACCACTTAGAGTGATCTCTAGAAGGGCCCATTTCCCCTCTCCCCATGCCCCCCCTCTCCCTGAAACTTCCGCACACCACCAGTTTCCCCCACTCTCATTCAGCATTCCTGCTCCTTCCTTCCAGTGCCAAGTGTTGTAAGAAAAGCCCATTAGCATCCTGCCTGAATTGATTAATCAATATGTGGTGTATTAGATCATCTTCTCCCAAACTGCCTCTTGTACCACGTGCAAAACCCAGAGCCTACTATTGGGGTATTGATTTTGGGGCTTGCTTTGGAACTCTTACAGTATCATCCCAGACACCCATTAATCTCACTGGGAACAGGTTCCTGGAGGAGCTGCTGTTGAGTGTTTGTTGTACATCACGTCTGAGACCCCAGGTTAGGTTTTGATGCGTGGTGGGTTCACTTCTCTGTCAGGTCTGAGGGTCTCTGGACGTTCTGCTTGTTGGGTGGGGGGTTGTTGTGCCACAAGGCCCCTCAGCTCATGTAAATGATGCCAGGAGCCACCTCTGCCCCCTGTCCCTTGGCCCTGAGTGCTGGGTCACCCCCTCCCTGGGCTGCCCTGCTTGCTGAGGACCTGCTTGTGCTTCTGCTGAGGGAATCTGTGGGTGGAGAAGATCACCCTGCTGAGCCCTCAATCCCTTCACAGCTTCAGTCACGGGCAGTTTTCTGGCCACTTGGCTTTTGTTTTGGTGTCTTCTGTGCCTACTCTGAGTTCACCAGATTTAAAAAGGAGACAAAAGCCCAAACCACGGGCTGCAGTGGCTGAAAACCCTCTGTGGGGGCTCGTGGTGGGTGCAGCTCTCAGACTGCAGGAGTAACAGAAATGCAGCTGGTCACAGAATCACAGGATCACACACTGCCTTGAGTTTGAAGCTTTAAGCCTGGGAGGGTCCAGGTCCACCCCTGCCATGAGCAGGGACACCTTCCACTAGCCCTGGTTGCTCCAAGCCCTGTCCAACCTGGCCTTGGACACTTCCAGGGATCCAGGGGCAGCCACAGCTTCTCTGGGCAACCTGTACCAGGGCCTCACTGCCCTCACAGCCAACAAGTCCTTCCCAATATCCCATCTATCCCTGCCCTCTGGCAGTGGGAAGCCATTCCCTGTGTCCTGTCCCTCTATTCCTTGTCCCCAGTCCCTCTCCAGCTCTCCTGGAGCCCCTTTAGGCCCTGGAAGGAGCTCTCAGGTCTCCCTGGAGCCTTCCTTTCTCCAGGTGAGAAGAGAAGGCTCCAGCTCTCCAGCTCTCCCAGCCTGGCTGAAGCCCTTGGAGCATCTCTGTGGCTTCCTCTGGACCCCCCATAGCAGATCCACATCTTTCTTGTGTTGGGGACCCCAGAGCTGGAGGCAGCTCTGCAGGGGGGTCTTACAAGGGCCTTCTCCTGACCCAGCCACTCCTCTGTGGATTCAATCCATCCATCCAGCACCAGACAGTTCAGCACCTGCACACTGGTGCTGCCTCAATCAGCCTGGTCCTTACTGGTCCCATCCTGGGTTGATATGGGAAGAAGCTGGAAGGTGTTGCCTCTTGCATCCAGAGCTCGAATGGTGGAGTGAGTGAATGTGTGTCAGGGTCCTTCTCCTTGGTTTGGGAGGACAGGGAGCAACCAGATGTTCAGGGTCAGACAGTGGGTGAGTGTCCCTTGTTCAGGGAGCTTTGATTCCCCATCTGGGATCTCCACTGCTGAGGAGAATGTTTTTTCCTCAGGAAGATTTTGCAGTGGTGGTGGAGCTCCTTTCCCTGCCAGCCCCAGCCCTTGGGGTCCTCGGGGAGAGCAGTGTTCCCCTGGTGCAGGAGACTCATCAGAGCTGTGCTGTGGACCTACTTTTCATGTTTTGCTTAATTAAGATTTGCAAAAGGCTGTGGGACCACGAGAGGCAAGATGTGGTCCATGTGAACTGTGATGATGCTTTAGGAATTAAAAAGGCTGGTGCTTTTTCTTCCAGTAACTAAGTAGAAAGCAGGGAAAATTGTGCAGGTCTGGTGCCTCCAACATAAGAAGGACATGGAAGTGTTGGAGCAAGTCCAGAGGAGGCCACAATGTTGATAAGGGGAGAGAGAACCTCCCCTATGGAGACAGGCTGGGAAAGTTGGGGCTGTTCAGCCTGGAGAGGAGAAGGTTGTGTGGAGACCTCACAGCACCTTCCAGGATCTGAAGGGGCCTTCAGGGAAGCCAGAGAAGGACTCTTCATCAGGAACTGGAGTGAAAGGACAAGGGGGAGAGGGTACAAACTGAAAGAGGGGATGTTCAGGTTAGATATAGGGAAGGAATTCTGTGAGGGTGGGGAGGCCCTGGCCCAGGTTGCCCAGAGAAGCTGTGGCTGCCCCTGGATCTCTGGAAGTGTCCAAGGCCAGGTTGGACGGGGCTCGGAGCAACCTGGGCTGGTGGAAGGTGTCCCTAGTGGAACAAGGTGAGCTTTAAAGTTCCTTCCAACCCAAACCATTCCATGACTGTGTGAGAGCTGCTGTTCCTCAGGCTCAGCAGGGCCCTTCCTTCCCCCATTCCCTGCTGTGCCCACGGGCCACACGGGTTCTGTTGGGGCAGATTTGTCACCCTCCTTGTGCCAACGCCCTCCCTTCCTGCTGTGAGAGCAGACAGCCCTGCCTGGGGGCCGTTCCTCAGGGCTGAAACCCCTGTGATGCCAGGCAGTCTGGGGCTCAGACCCAGCACAGGAATGGTGAGGTTACAACTTCCTCCTTAATGGGCCGTTCATTTCCTTCTGAAAAACTCCATTTGATTGATTGCTTTGCATCACCAGGGCTTTGTTATTGCTCCCTTCTTCCTGCTGCTCCATCGATTGGGGGATGTTCAGAAGAGTCAGGATTTTTAGTGGTGATGGCAGGGATCAGTCACAGGGTGAAACGTGCCTTTTAAATTCAGCATTAATCGAACTATTTCACCTGCTCTGTCCTGAAAGCAGATTTGGGACTGAAAAAGCTGGTTTGTGGTGGCATCAGGCAGACTGAAGAGTTTGGTGCCAAGTGATGCTCAGGAAAATGGGAGCTTGGCCTTGGGTGGGATGGTCTGGGCTCAGGTCTGTCCAGAGCAAGCACTTTATTGGAAAGGGTTATTTAGTCATTTCCAAAGGATTGAGGTGACTTTCTGTGTGGTCCAGAGACAGCCTTCCTACAGTTCTAGAGAGACTTTAGCACAGGCTTTGCACTGAACAATCTACCTTGCAAATATCCATGTTCTTCTCCTGTGATAAATTGAGGAATTAGGAGGGCAAGCAGAAAGCAAGTTGACAAATCTCAGCCCATTTTCTCCTTGCTGATCCACTCTTTGTTCTTACAGAGAATTTCCTTTTAATTGGGGCCAATGAAAGCTTTCCAGCAAGACTTTGTCTGGAGGGTGATTTATGCTTGAAGCAAAAAAGGCTGAATCAGCAGGTTGGGGGAAATGCTTTAATAATAAGCCCAGAAAAGGCCTTCCTGCATCAGCAGCACAAAAGCACTGGAACAATTCCTCC